TAGAAATGAACCTTGGCTCCATTTGTTGAGAAAGGTGTAGTTTTAGAAATCAAATGTATTGCAGTAGTGTATAGCCAGAATTGAGTACCATGTGCCAAAATCCATAAGTTCAACTTTTTCTTTCCTTAGCTCCCATCACTGCTCCCCCCCCCAACCAATCAAGTGCAAGCAAGATGTTTTGAGAATGGTTAATTCAAGTGTATGTTAGAATGCAGCTGGGTGACCTTGAGACAACATTCTGGGAAGATACAGCAAGCAGCATCGGTGTGGGGGTGGTAGAATACAGCAGTTCCTCACATTTTCCCCAAGTAGCAGTCACTTTTGCTTTCCCCCAAGCAACTCCTTTCCCATCCACCCTCTCCATAGTTCATGGAGGACTGTTACTGCATGGTATCGAGGCACAAGCTGAGAGAGAAGTGGCAGCTGACAATGGGACAATTCCTACTTGAAAGGGAAAAGTAATGTGCCAATTCAATAAAAGCAAAAGCTGGCATTCTGAGAGTTCACAATAGGGATGAAGTCTTCCCTGAAGGAGTCTTCAGTTTGAGATTATGGGGAATATAAAATTGCATCAACAAATACGAGTAATTCACTGCTGATTTTCCCCTCTGTGATCTAAGAGGGCTGAATGGTAGAATTCATGATGCCTTTTGGCAGCAGCTTGCCCAATACTGCTAAATACCTTGGCAAGGCTCTCCCGGTATGGAAGAACCCAGACTAGCTTATTGCATTAAATGTATCTGCTCTCATTTTAATAACAGTAGGAAAACTAAGAAGGGGGGGGGAATGAATTAAATACAAATAAGCACTTGATGGCAATTTTGTTTTTCCATGTAATCAAGTGATAAGACAAACTATGTATCCAATTAGTGGTTTAATTAAGTACATTCCGAACTCAAGAAGACCAATTGAAGTTACAAGAAAATACCTCTATCAGGCTCCCAGGTTGGTTAAAATATAGCCATTCACACTCTGGCAATAGCATATTTCCTATATATTCGGGTGTGTATTATAATATATGTGTTAAAGAGCTTTCAGGATGCTGTGCAAATAAGATATTTGGAGAAACTGCACTTAGATCAAAATCAGTGTATGAAAGAAAACATATTTTTCCAGGTAACTGTATATTTAAATACAGTATCCTCAGTACTAGTAATACTGTAATATTTTATAATTTTATAAATTACACTGTACATAGTGCAACAGAATTTAGATATGTTGCACTTTGCGCACCTTTTACCTAAAAAATATTCTTCTGTGCTTGTCCAGTTGCCTTTTTTAAAGTACTTTACAACAAATGCTGCAATAATAGAGGAACAGAATAAAGTGAGCCGAGGTGGCGCAGCAGTTAGAGTGCAGTACTGCAGGCCACTTTAGCTGACTGTTCAGCAGGTCAGCGGTTCAAATCTCACCGGCTCAAGGTTGACTCAGCCTTCCATCCTTCCGAGGTAGGTAAAATGAGGACCCAGATTGTTGGGGGCAATGTAAATATATATATATATACATTGCTTACTGGTGTACACCGCTTAGAGAGTGCTTGCACTTAAAGCGGTATATAAGTCTCATAAATAAATAAATAAATAAATAAAAGTTGTCTTTTCAGTTTCCAAGCATAACTATGTTTTCCTCTTCCCACCCCATTTTGTAAAATCAATTAAAACTTAATGGCTGTGAAACATCATTAGCATCGTGAATTTTTGTCTGTGGTTTCAACTATGTGTTGGGGAAAGTTAATGCATACTTGTGACATCATCTGAAAGTAATCACCTGTGTAATTGGAAAGGATTGTGTGCTTTTATATGAATTGCCAGCTAAGAAACCTTGTGATTGTATATATCTCACCTAGTGTTATCTAAAATAAAAGTACTGTAAAAGAAGGTTCTTACTGCCCAAATGTTTCTCAGTCCCTTTTCTTAATAGAATTTAATTTAAAAATAGATTCCAAGCCACATTAAACAGTGTTCACTTTAAATCTGATTACTACACTCTGTATTCTTATCCTGGCCTTTTGAAATATATAGGAATTAAATGTGTCATCTGTATATGTATTAAAATGCTAATTTTTAACACCATGCTTGAAAAATTAGCAATTGTGTGTGTTCATGTAAAGGTTTGTGTTCAGTTGAGTGGTTGGTTTGGTTGAACTCAATTCACAAGCTTGATCTTCAAAGGAAAACAAATCAGGTCAAGATTGTGCACAAAGGAAGGGAGACAGACATTTAGAAGATATATCAATAATGCAAAAACTCATAATTTGAGAAACAAACACTGGACTTGAAATAACTGGTATGATTTATTCTGTGATTAATCCAATCGTCCTTATTAGCATTAAAAGGATGGTTTAAAAGAACAGGAAGAAAGCCTAGAAATGGAAAAGTTATCATTTGCTGGTGATGATTTCTTAATTCCACAGATAAACTACAATAAGTTTCTCTCTGACATTGATCAGATTTGAATCTTAAATTAATTTAATACATTACTGTCAATAGTATATTTTAACTCAAGAATGTGCTTATTTGGTACATATTGATTTGACTTGTTAACGCTTTCACAATACACACTAACATCAGATTTTCTGCTATAGTGACCTTAAGAGGCGGGGATAGCAATGAATGATTCCTACCATTCAATGAACTTCAACTTGAACCTTACTTGAATGGTAATAATGTACACCTGTAATTGCTGTGGAAAAGGAAAAACCTCTAGGGATTTTCCATCTAATCATTTATTTATAAATCTGTAGGTAGCAGTCTGCAAAAATGCACATTGGGGGTCAACTTGATGCTACAATTCATGATTTGGTGTTTACATTTCTCTGTTTTTTATCTTGCTTTTTAAAGATAATTTCAGTTTTTACATGACCAGTAAAGCTCTTTGGGTCATTAGAATGGATGCTTGATATAGCTTTGCATTAGCTATCTATTTCATTTCTCATGGCCTTGGATAGGCACTGTCTCTGTATTATGAATATGAAATATGAATGTTTTTTCATCCCATTAATTCATTCTACATACAATTAATTTGTGTCCAATATTAAACACTTGGTATTAGTGACAGTTATCTAAATTACTGTATTTAGTAACATTAGTGATCAAGTGTTTCTTTGGAGACTTCCTATTACATGATTTGTATCCAATGTGTATTATGCAAAATGTCTAGATTCAGCCTTGAGATAACTAGTTTGTGTTTGAAATAACTAGTTTACTATATGTTTGGAAATTATAACATTTATGCTTATGTTAAAAGACAACAAATGCTCACAGTAATAAATATAAGAGTTGTAGAAATAAAAGTCTTTATCACAAAATGGGGGTGGAACAATCAAATGATTTGGAGATCTCTGGGTAATCTATTTGCAATGGTTAAAGTGCAGTATTGCAGGCTAAATCTGCCCACAGCCTGGAGTTCTATCCTGATGTTGACTCAGCTTCCATCCTTCCGAGGTCAGTAAAATAAAAGCCCAGATAGTTGTGGGCGGCATGCTGACATTGTAAACTGTCCAGAGAGTGCTGTAAAGCTCTATGGGGAAATATACAAGTCTGAATGCTATTGCTATTGAGATCACAAGCAAGAATTCCAAGGCAAGCTTGTCCAGCAAATGGGGAGGATTGGTTTCCGGGTTGCAGAGTCATTTGGTATGTTTATTAGCCATTTGGTAGTTGTCTTGCTTAACCTGCTGCAGAGTCCTGTGGCACCTGTTGTACCTGTTCTAATGTCCTCAGTCTCCTTCAGCAGTTGCAAGTGCGCTAAACCTCCTTAGTTTCTGCTGTAAATAGGGAAGGATATCTATAGCTTTTAGTAGGTCTTTCTGGCTTCATATTATGAAATTTGGATTAATGATGTTCAAAATTACAATAAGCTAATTGCCAGGTGAACCTTCCTAAGAACATAATACCATAATCAAGGGTCCACTAGTGAATTTATAAGCTTTTCCTGTGGCCACTATAGTTTTTTTACACCCACTCTATTTGTGATTATCAGATCTAACTTTTAGATTTTAGAATTAGAATGTGAACAACTACATGTGGGATTAGCCCAATCTTATATCATGGAGAAATTTACATGTTGCAGCCAGTACTTTTGATTGAAATGACTGCTGATGGAAGACTCAGTACTTTACCATAACTTCAGTTTTCTGAATGTTATGGTTAATGTCTGTAATTTACCTAAAGTAAATTTGGGTAAAAAATAGTTTTGTGTATCATAGTTAAGACTTAGCTTATTTCCTGAATCACAGATTATCAATTAATTGTGTAGGCGTTGATCTAGTGCTAATTATTACATGATAAATAATTATAAGTTTTTAGAAATTGAAATAAAATGTATTTGCTTTCTCTTAGCCTTGCAGGAAAAAGGGAAGAGACAGATGAATCAAACTCATCTACATAAATCTATAGTGTTTCATAATAACTAGTTCAGTGTAGATGGGAGAACAACAGAATTTGTATTATCTTGTGCTTGTTTGTAATCCCATTAAAGACAGTGACAATAGATTATTCTGCTAAAGCTGAACCATAGTTGTCTAAAATTTGCATTTCAGCCAGGAGCTTATTCTTTTTCAAAGAGGTGTAAGAACTAAGTGTAATTAACAAGCTGAGGTCAGGTCATAAAGAGAAATAGTAGAAGTGACAGCAAGCATAACCAGAATCAAGACTGAAGCTCCACTGATGCAAAGCATTTCAAGTCTACATAATGTCTCATAGTTGCAAAATATGAGCTAGCTGAGCCAAGTCAGAATACCACAAGGTCAGTATGTTCGTCTATTAAGGGCAGCTTCAAAATAATCCAAACATTCTGAAGAAACCATGAAGGATAGCGAAGCTAAAGATTTCTATATTTAGTCTAGAAATTCTTCTTAACAACTGACCTACATGTTAAATACGGGAAAGTGTAATATTTAACCTTTAACCAAATGTTAATTTTTGAGAAACACCTGACATAACGCTTCTGATTAGAATACTAGTTAATTATATTTAAATGTGTTACCATGTGGCAGTTTCCACTCTCTTTTCTTTTTTTCCTGAAAGTTCATCCTGAAAGTCTTTGCTAAAAGCCATAATTTTAAAAGGTAGGTTTAAAAATTTATACTTGATTTGTTGCTTTTAAAGAACAGGCATCCATCTGATCCTTGAGTTTATTATTACTATTGACACATGGTCAATAGACATATGTCAGCTATGTCAGAATACATGGGTTTTGGCTATGCTAGCCAAGTACTATATTATTATTGCTGTTCTATAAACTACTTCCTAGATTGAACTGCTACATTTGCTCAGATTGCTTGCTATGCATAGGTAAAGGGAAAAGGGAAGCAAATCTGACATACTTACTAACAGAGAAATTTGTATTATTTATACAGAACAGAACAAACCAATTTTCAAGAAAGGTATTTAAGTGGCAACATTATTTATTAATGCTGTATGCACACACTAATGGAATGCAACACAGATTCAGTTAAATCTAGTAGAATGCAGTCTAATATCATACTACTCTGTGTGTGTGTATTTCCATTGCTTAATCTATGAGTGTATATATGTATATAGATACATATTACACCATTTATCCGTAAACTAAAATACTTGGTACTGTGCAATTTTTGTTGGGTCTTTCAAACTTCACACTAAATAATCATAGAATATACTTTTAAATTTACAAATTATTTGATTGTAAAATGCTCATTCTTTTGCTATAGTTTTTCAATGTTCCTAGAGAACTGCGAATTCACAAATTTGCAAGTGAGTGATTAAAAACCAAGCTTCCTAGAAATAATGTATTATCCATTAAAGGTATAGCACAACTTCCTGTTGATATGACAGTCAAGACTCAAATAGCATAATAAAAACAACACAATGGTCCTCAAGTTATGTTGGCAATTGTGACCAGGATTGCCATAATGTGCTCATAAAGCATAACATTACACAACTGCAATCACTTAGTGACTGCAATGCCATCATAACTCCAGAACCATGTGCATTTTTAAACAGAAAAGGATGGGAATCTCAGGCAAATTGCATGGGGGGATATCCAGAGGGTGGACACTAGGGAGCACTGGTAGGTGTTAGGATGGGTTGGTTGGGGATGCTGGATGGGCTGGTAAGGGCTGTGGGTGGGTGTTAGGGAGCACAGGCAAGCTATGAGGATCCACTTGTTGATGCTACAAGTAGGTATGTGCTTATAGAGTGAAGGCAGACATGGGAGTGCTACGGAATTTCAGATTCCTGGGATCTGATACTCCATACTGGGTCTGCTCAGGAGAAAAAAAAAATGATGGGACCAACTTGCAACCTTCATTGCTGGTTTCTCCATTGAGTTTGCTTGTAGACAAAAGCAGAGTAAATCTAATGGTGATCATGTGACCATGGCTTACTTCAATATCATAATTAGGAATGCCCGAATTGAGATTATATGATGGTGGGAAGCCTCAAAGGCTGCAACGTCACAGATCAGTCATATATTGCTTTGTCTCTGAACAAGAGTTTGTAAACCAAGGACTATTAAAAAAAACAAATTTAGAAGTAGTATTATTAAAATCAAGTCAGCTAACCATTCAAAGGCTCTTCTGGCCCTCTGAAAGGGCCTTAAGACCTGTCAGTTGGTTTGGTGCCCCAATGAAGAGGTTTCAATCAATCAATTTCAACTTCTTGTGGAGAAAAAAAGATTTCACAAAGTTGGATTGATTGATTGAACTTTTAGTCCCACTCAATCTGCCATTACCACCAAAGCCACGCATACCCAATGGGCCATGCCCACCTAATGGCCACGCCCACCCGGCACCTGATGATACATAAGTGGGTTTTGGGTTACAGTTTGGACACTCAATCTCTAAAAGGTTCACCATCACTGTTCTAACCTGTCACAACATGAACTTCAAATCGAAATGCACATAATTAACTTAGCTGTGTACAACAACAAGCATTGCTTTTGGCAAGTTTTTGACTATTCCTGTACTCATGTACCAACTATGGAAGAGATGGTAGCCATTAGAAAAAAGCATTGCTGACCTCATCTGTTCAGACACAGTGAAGGCTGAAGAGTTTCTGTCTCCTACCATGAATTCCCTTGCTAGTTACTATCTCAGGGTTGTTCCTAGGCCATATTCCCTGTACTGGCTGAAACACTATGGTACTTGGAGAAAAAAATGGAAACACATTGTGTATTTACTGTAACTCTAATATTCAAAGAGATGAGCAAATATATTGTTAAATTATTTGCTTACTGACTAATGCTTTTGTTTGCTTCTGTTATAAACTATCAGTGCTTATGTGCCTAGATATGCCGAACTGATTACATTTTTTTATTTCAAATAATGGAATTTTAAAGCTAATTCTAGTCCTGACGATTGTTTGTGTAAGAAAAGTACATAAGGCTCATGAGATATTTGTAAAAGATAAGTACACAAGATTAACAAAAAATCTTAATCCCATTATATTTCATAAAATAAATTGGTGAATGTTATCATTTATTATTAGAAGGGCTGTAACAGTAGTAGCTGTAATAGTAATAGCTGTAATAAAACTCTGTATTTAGAAGGTAGAGGCAATCTCAACAAAGGGAATGAATGTAAAATGTGCTTTTAAAACAAATTTCACAGCAGCAGGGCCGGTATGAATGTGTCACTGAACTTTAACCTCCTGGGAAGGTACTGCAAGATTCAAAATCTCAGGCTATTTTTGATAACTGCTCTCCCCCAAACAATGCAGAATCATTATGATAGTGATTCTGGCCCTCAAATTATACTTCCTATTTATCTGTAATGTTTGTCACAGTTCTAGACATTTCATTCTATAAAGAAACATGCATGGAGAAGGTGTCTTAATAAGTTAATGTTTTTAAAAATATATTTTGTCTCCAATATTTTACAATTAATTTCTCCCAGACTAATTCAAGTTCTGAAAACTATCAAGATGTTTGTGTGCATGTGTGTGTGTGAGAAAGAGAGAGTGAAAGAGAATTATCAGAGAGTAGACCGTGAGTTTATTATTATGTGTTGTTAAAAAGGGGATTATAGTTAATAAAACATGAATAAGGGAAGAGTTATGCAAAAGCAACAAAAATTCTTGTAGCATCTTTAAAAAATATCACACTTATTATATAAGCACTCATGGAATAGATTGAGATCATCAAAATGATTTGACAAGGAATAGATAAGCATAAAGCAGAATTTTCTACTTTAGACATTGCTTGATGCTTTCTAGCCTTACAGAAAATATTGGCATCCTAAGATAGGTAAAATATTCGCTGCATTGATTAATTATGTCCCATCAAGTTGGTGTCAAATGACATAAAAGCTTCTTTATATTTAGTGTCGTATGTATCTTTGTGGAATAAATTGGAATATCTGACAATTGAACCTCATCTTAAGACCCCAATTGAGGTGGGCTGCAGCAAATGCATTTATTTAATGTGCGCTTTCCATCCTTATGATTTAGCCCTTAATTTAACAATGTGTATTCACCAAAAATGTAAAGTAGAATATCTATATTTATTGTGTGCCAATAATGTACTATTATTTATAGCAGGTTCTGAATAATTTTACCAACTAATTGCAAAAAAATAATTCATTACCATGAATTAAAATAAATCTAAAGTTTTGTTCTTTTCCAAACAGTCACTGAGTAATTGGTTTCAACTGAACAAGCTTCCACCTTTAAGTACTGAGGCCTTTATTTGTATAAGTTTATAAAATGGAAAGGCCAATGTAAGCATGTCCTGTCTAAAGCCAATCATTAATCTAAAGCAAATCTTAATTTCTTTTTTATTAAAAGTAGCAAATTGGTTCCTGCTGTTATTAAATATGCAAGCAAATTTAGTATCTTAGTATTTTATGGAATTCCACTAAAACTTCTTAGTACTTATTTTTCTTTCAATACTTTTCTGCATCATATTCTGCTTCGGTCAAACATTTGGCAGGGAAGTGCTTAATTTTGAATCTAGGTTGAGTTCTACAAGCATGACTGATGGCAAACTTGTCTTTAGCTTAAATTATGTACAAACAAAATTGTTAACTCATTTGGATATCTAACTGAATGCTTTGTTTCACCATGAAAAAAAGTTTTAAATAACCATAAAATAGTCCTTAAGCTTTTTCTCCATGCATTGATTTAATCCTATTTGAATCTGACACTGACCAAGCAAAATCTATAGTCAGCCAAATTTTTCAGTATAGGTACTATCTTTTAGGCTGATAGTTCATTTTGATGGCAAGATTTAGCTTCTTTGTAGAGTACAGAGACAACTTGAGCAGTTCAGACAATGACTTCTGGGTGTTTCCTCAACTTATGGCCACAATTGGTAGCAGAATTTCTGTTGAAGGCAATGCAGTCATAAACTGAGTTATCACTTGGTTGGATCTAATTTATGACTATTTTTCTATGATTATTAAGCAAATCAATCATTAAACAAATCAGTTGCTAAGAAAATCACATTGTTATTAAGTGAATCACGTAGTTGTAAAACAAATCTGGCTTCCCAATTGCTTGGCCGAAGTTAGCTGGGAAGATCACAAATCACAATCACATGACTGCAGATACAGCTATCATAAATGCAAGCTGGTTGCCAAGTGCCCAAATTGTGATCGCATGAACTTGGGAATAGCATAATGATCGTAACTTAAAAGACCGGTCACTTTTAGGTCACTTTTTCTGAAGCCAATCATAACTTCGAACTGTTGTTAAATGAACAGTGGCAAGTCAAGAACTACCTGTAGAAGAACACATGTCTTCAATCTGACCTTATTTATTACTTAGCTCATTGTGTGATGGTATGATCATACTCTGCTCTAGAAAATCACTTCCTACATGTAAAAAGTGTATACCAGAATGAATATGAATTCTCATGAATATGGAGACAATTGCATTCTGGATGCTGAACATTAACTGAAAAGCTTCAGGAAGAAGTATGTCACATTCATTCCATGACCATTTTGATTTCTTTATATTCCCCTAAATTTGTTTCTAACATTAATATAAATAATATCTCGGATAAATATTTCTCCTACATTTTAAAAGCCTTTTATTACATCCGTTTATTACACAACTCAATGATGCAACTTAAAACCATTAAAATGTGAATACATTTGGAATCCTGAATTCCCATTATGATTCGTATCTGTGATATTAGATGTTAATAAAACATGCAGCAAAATTTCCAGTTAGAAAGATGGACTAATAGACACTAAACTTTGTGTGTTGTTTATATATATATGTCTGATAGTGATTTTGTATTAGTTATTTCATTCACATATTAAATGTATTTCTATGCTCCACAATCAAAACTCAGTCATTCCCAATAATATCATTTATAGTCAAAGACTATTCCGGCAGTAGATATATAAATCATGATCTGGACTTTACTATTTAACTACCTTGGTTGCTTCCTGAAAATAATTATACATTAAGACATATAGTGAATACTTTAAAGATCCTTCAGTATATCTTCAAATTAATATTACAGTAAAAAGTTAAAAATATCTAAAATTATATTTTAAACATGTTTCATATGTTTGTTTCTAAACTCTTTTAAAATATGTATTAATTTTTTTATTTTCAAAAATCCTTATTCTATGTATGTCTTTTTTTACAAAATTAATTTAAAATTAGGCCAACCCCCATGTGCCTCTTATTAAATTTTTTGAAAAACTGTTCTTATTCATTGATTTCAATGTGAAGAGCAAACATAACATAGACATAAGGCTATCTGAACGCTTTATTCGCTACATTTAGAATATTAATAAAATTCTTCCCAGAAGTTGTCACATCAAGTAAAAGATCTTTATTCCAGATTGTCTTTTGGGGCCAAATTGAGACTGGATGCATGCATTTAATAAATTGTAGTCTCAAGTAGTCATTTTTTGTAAATAATTAGCTTCAGTGGAAGAATAAGTTAGCATATTGTATGCATCTAATGTTGCAAATGTACATACTGCAAACTTTCCTATTAATCAACAGTCAAGCACTGTAAGTTGGGTCTCATACATAATGAATTGTGCTTAAGCCTCCTGGGTTTCATTGATAGAAAAATAAGAGAAAACACAAGTGTAGTAAGCTTTTGAATAAAATTTAACTAGATTGCTCTGCATCCTGTAATTGTTTTGGAATCATGAGGGAATAGACAATTCATCTGCAATTTTGGTGGTAGTTTTGCCTTCATCTATCAAAGAATACTATTTAAATGACATTAAGGTGTTGAAATAACTACTTTAAAAATTCTACATAGAATGTTAATAATATATGTTTTAGGCGTTTTTCCCCTTTCTTCCATACCCTTAAAAATGTTGTATATATGTGTGTTTAGAGAGAATATTTTCATGTCATTTTTAAGTATTTCAATACTTATTTTGATTTATTGCCTTCTTTTTGTAAACTGCTCTGAATGGTGATTGGGGGTGATAAAAAGTCTTAACAATCAAGATTATTCAAATTCACCTGAGAAATTTAATTTGTATGCATTTAAAGGTAACAAGAATGTGTAATATTTACTTCCTGGTTTAGGTTGCTGACACCGACTAGAATATAAAATGCTGAAATTGTAAAAGCACAGTGTGTTAATTCTTTGGTTAAGTAATACTTCAGATTTATTTATTTCTTTATATAGAGCCAAGTGCCAGGAAAAATGAAACACTTCCTTGGAGTTGGGGCCTGGAGGAATTTGCTTTTCTTCAGATCTAGTTAGAGTTTTGTAAGGCTTCCATCTAATAAATCTCATTCTCTAAGCATCTACCCAATGTTCTGGGGCTACAGTTAACAGACTTTTCCAGTAAGCATGTCCGTATAGAATAATATTCCACAAGATGTGCCCATCAGATCTCTTGGAAGTACAACTTGCCTACAGCACAATCCGGGCTTTTGTTCCAAATGTGCGCTTCCACTCCTGGACCATGAACTCTCAATGTTAAACTATAATATGTAGTATCAGTCCTATTTTCTCCCATTAGTCTACTGATTTGATCTCATCAACCTTGATATTCTGGAAGGGATTCTGCCTTCAGAAAATCAAGATAACTGGCTATTCCTAGGAAGATTTCAAAGTTACTTGTAGGTTAGTTTTCAGGAAATAGATTATATGCATACTGGTATGCTTGAAGATTCTATAATCCGTCTTTCCAAAATGATAACTGTCATATTGTGAAGCTTCTCAGAAGGACCACCAATTTTTTGAATAATAGTATTTTATGTAAAAAAAAAATTCATGAACCCAGGCACCACAATTCATTAGTATTGATCCCCTACAATTAAAATATATATTTCATCATAACTTATTTCATTGTGACTTTCCATATATAAAGATGATAGGGATAATTATTCTAATTGATTCCCAGACTATGGGATGTACTTCCTAATGAGATATGTTTGGCTTCCATTGTCCCTGGATTTAGGAACAAGATGTAAATGCAAGTCTTCCTAATCTTTTAATTGTTAATTAGTTAATGATTATATAGTGGTTTTTTAATTTTAATTTTGGTTTCAATTGTTTTTTTCTGTAGTTTGTATTTTTTATTATCAGAAAACATAAATTTTGCAATAAACAGAAATGTGAAGTATATATTCATTATTAAAGAAATAAAGATAATGCATTTACAACCAATAAAAAAGCATGTGAGATAAATAAGAATATAATTTTATTTAATAAAACTTTTTAAAAACACATAAAAGAAATATTTAGATGAATACCAAGTAAAACACACATACACACACACATACATACACATATTTATGAATGTGGTTTACAAAATCAATATCACTTGCATACAGACTTCAAGTATCTTCTCTCCCTTCCACAAGAAGCAGGGGTCATCTAGCTACTTTAACAAAGGATAATAGTGTGATTCTACAGTTTTTTAAAATCCAAAATGGAGCATCTCCCTTGCCAGGGTTGTGCTAAAAACATGTCTGCTCAAAATTGTCTCTTTGCATACTTTGCTGTAGCAGCAGTTTCTTATGATTGGCATGTGAAAATTACCTTTTCCTACTTGGTTAAGGTCTTGTATGCTCTCTGGGTAAAGAGAAAATCAGCAGGTTTTTAGATTTCAGTAAAAGACAAGGACTCATTATTTGGATTCTCTGTTGACTGGGGAAAGTCCCAAGAATTTTTGAGTAACCTACTGCTGTTTGATAATGATTTGAATTTACAGGCTCCAACATTTTAAGTCCAGATGAAGGTTGGACATTGGGTACAAAATGAAAAGTAGATGTAATAAATAATTTTTCACTTAATCAAAATGTTTAGAGGTTTTAGTATATCACAATATTCCTCTTAATTGAAGATAATACATAACTTTTGCAAAAAAAAAAAAAATAATAACTCCCAACCACTCTTTGCTGGCTTTTCAATAATGAATACGTATCCAAACCTAGAAAATCATTGGAGTAGAGACCTATTATAAAAACAGGTATGAAAAAAAATAAGGAGTTGAAATTAAGTTTAAATTTAAAATATTCATTTTAAGGTAAATATTGCTACTACAGTATAGAAATTCTGATGATACCCCTTTTAAGTGGAGAAATTGATAAGATTGCAGGCTGAATTTTAATTAAATGTTGGTGGTATGAAAATAAGAGATACCTATATTTTCCAGAGAGGTGGGACATTAAACCAAAACAATTCTATGGATTCAAATTCCCAATAAGAAGTACAATTAGATAATACAATATATGGGATTTAAAAATAGGAATCAGTTCAAATAATCAAGCGAAAATTTATACACTATACGATAAAATTGAAGCATTTGCACACAGATTTGTTCTCAGAGCTCAGTTTTACCAGGAGAAAGATCTTTAAAATCAATTGGAGAAGATGCTTATGAAGCTAAGATAACTGGGTGAATGGGTAGCAATTTCAACTAATTTCTTTTCTTTAAAATCCCCCTTTTAAATTGTTTTAGCACCCTCTACAAATTTCAAAATGGAGAACAAGATTTGAAGCCAGGTTTTAAATCCATTTTTTTCTGTGAGACTTTAAATCAATCCACCTTGCTTGACATTCTCCCCAACTATTGACACATTCCTTGCATAAATAAATATGTTTTCCATTTGTCTGCTACAGAGAGATAATCAAAAAGATAAGCAGAATTTTCAGAGAAAATGATAACTCCATGATACTTCTACTCATTGGCAATGCAAAGAAATATTTCCTTGTCCTTTTGTCTGGTTTTTTGTTGTTGTTGTTTTTTTTGTTTTGCTTTGTGGTATTCCTTACTTCAAGCTTCATTCATGCAAAATTTGCTTTCCCCAATAGTTTGTGTAATAGTATTATTCATCTTTTTCTAAACTGGTATGCATCATACATGTTGGAGGGTGTCACTTAGGAAATCGTATGTTTCTGTTGCTGTTCAGATATTTACTCCTATCTAAATATAGGAAAAGTGTTCCCTCTTTCTAACCTATATGCCTGGACATTTGTTGATTTTGAAAATATTATAAGGAGATATTTCATCTCCCTAGGTTTAAAGGAGATTTGTGTGACATATTCACCAGAGATGGAAATTGAAGTGCTTTATTCCAAATTTCTTTTCCTACTTTTGTTTTTTCATATTTATTTCTCTGTACCCATTCCTTCTCATTTGTATTTGGATTTTTTGGCCTGCCTTAAGTTTCTTTTACATAATGGTCTTTCTTTGTTGTACAATGTTTAAACAACTTTGTTATAGTGAAACTCTGCAGTTTTAAAATGAATGCTACTTTGTTACTCTTTCAACAGAGTGGAGGCCTCAATATCTTGTGAAATATGTGAAGCCACAGGGGAAATGAAGGAACCACTGAAACAATGTATAGCTTGGCTTCAAGCTTATTTCACTGAGCCCCAGTTAATGCTGAAACTTCCAGTGCCTCCTTTTCACCATCAACTCCTAGAACAAGGTCTGTATGTCTTGTAGTGTTATATTTGGCACTTCTTATATGATGTGCACTTCTGTTGTTTTTTGTAAGGTCTGTACTTGGTTTTGGGGTAAATTTGTAATAATGAATATATGTAGCTCAGGTGTAGGATGAGGATGAAGGTTCATTCTCTTTTAGGTAACATGTTAGAACTTAAAATCTGCAAAAAATTATGATTTTATTAATATCAAAATCAAATATAGTGGAAGTCTGTATTGATCTGCTAATCCTGCTTGCTCAAAACACAGAGTGTTTCTCGAGCCCAGCAGCTTTAAAAATGTAGCTTTCAACTCCTGGTATTCCACAGTCCACACAACTTAAAAGTTGCTGAGTTCAAGAAATACTGTGCTAATAGAATGCTTCAGTGGGATTCAGTACATGTCACAGTTACCAGATCTTCACTTAATGACAATAGTTTAATTATCATCTGGAAGAAACTGCATCCGATAAAATAAGAGTCTCAAGTTGCCGATTTCTAAAAAGTGTTATTTGTTTCTATTGTTAAACACAAGAGAAGTAGAAGAGCAGTTTTGCTTCTTCTGACAGAGGACATCAGGGAGAGTACCTCCAGTGACTAGATACACAAGATACACAAAAGTACTGGGGGGGGGAATTAAAAACAATATTTAACCAGATTAATGCTTATTGATATCAGTGGCTTAAACTAAAAATAGGTTTAATTGAATTTTAGCTTAAATTCTGCACCAATGTGTTTTGTTTTCCTCATTTGGAACTCTGGAAAAATGCTAGACGAGAACACCTTTTTATTTCTCTTGCTCCTTTGCACAAAAATAAATGTATATATTGAACTATATAATTAATAGCATTGACTGAATTATTAGAATGTAGACCACTGACATATTTATCAGAAATACTTTAGGGATTTTCACTAGAGATAGCCAGAGTCCTCCTCCTCCATTTGTTACATTGCTTTTCTGCAGGTTGGCTGTCCCTGCATGTCGCTTTTAAACTTTCCAGTTTTGCAGTGATAATTTCAATAACTAGTGTGGATATGGCTGTGTGATTTATTTTTGCTGCAGTTTTGTTCATCTCATTATGGGAAATTATTTTTTTCTCTTCAAATGAGCAATGTTAATATACTGTACTGTTTTACATATGTGTTAGTGAATATTGCATTTACATCTTCTTTTTGCATTCTTTTATTTTAAAATACATATTTAATTTGCACTTATATATTCAGATGTGGATTTATTTTTCAGATGCTTTGAATAATAAATGTTGATGTATGTTAGAGACTGCATCCCCATCTATTTTGACTTTGGTATTTTTCTGTAAAATTGACAAAGGTTTCCTTGGCTACTGCTATATCAAAATATAAATGAATCAAAATTGAGGAATCTATTGTCAATTTCTTGTTGCTATTTTCTTGATAAAAACCCCTTTATAGTTGCAGTCCTAACCACATATTCGAAGGAGCAAATTGACAAAAATTAATGGGATTGCTTTACCTTTATTTAGTAAATTGTTCCTATATGCAACTGTTAAAAGCCAAGCTAGAAATACCTCAAATTATAGTCTCCTTGACATTTGATCCTTACTGAGCTTTTCATATATAAATATTTAAGATTAAAAAACAATGCAGAGCGGGGGATTATGAAAAGGGATCTTATGTATTGCAGTGACATTTTAACAGATAATAGAAGATTTATAGGAGAGAAAAATAGAACAGGTTGTTCCCTGACTAGGCAGAAATCTTAGCTCTCTAGCTTTTATTTCTGCATGAAAATAGAGTGATGAAACTACAAAAGCCAAGTGTGGTATAGTGATTAACATGTTGAAGTTGATTACGATGTTGAAATTCACACTGAAGTTCACTTTCTGTCATTGGGTGATTTGGAGCTATTCACTCTCTTAGGCCAACCCACTGAAAAATGTTGTAGTTTTGAAGGAAGGTGGGAGAAAGTAACACCATGCACATGGATTTAAGCTACTGAACAAAAAAAAAGATACAAATCTACTAAATAAAACAGTTTGCAGGGCAAAATATTTATCTTATAGTTCCTAATTCCAGTTAAATATCAATTTATTTTCTTTGAAATGTTACATTATCTGATTGTTCACCAGCGGACTCTTCTTGAATGAGTCCCCCCCCCCACCTTCAATATTACACATATGCATTATGATTAGTAATTCTTAGAGTGGGATAGGATCTGTACTAATGTTTGAATTCTTCTGACAGGAATGTTTGACAAACCTTCTTCTATGGGAACCATTTTCCCTGAGAACTATTTGGAACCTTGGACACTTTTCCAGGAGATTTCAAGGCAGTGGCAATGCTGCTTCCCCCATTAATTTGATCTTTTTAACCTGACTTTATAATTGATTTGACATTTGATCACCATGATGAATGTTCCATTCCAAGAAAGGCCTGGGGGAGTACAACCCTGTTGAAACTCCTAGCTATTTCAGAAGTTAAAATAGGAATAGGCAATGTGAGGTGCTGGGCCCTTTTGCACCTCCCAGTGCCTTACTGATTGGGTTGCTAAAATAACATACTGTAATCAATTTAAGAACTTAATATGCAAAATCTGTAGAATGTCCTGGAATAACCTAGATTTGTTTGGCCTTTTTTCCTGCTTTCATCCTATTCCCCAAACAGAAAATCCTGAAGCTATCTTCATGTGTCACTCTGATTATTTTGTACTCTTGTACTTTGACACACACCCCCAGCCCCAAAGACCTCCATTTTCCAATTACCTAAAGACTATACATCCCTATAATGGGATGAAAATAAATGAAGCTGTATTTGCCTGACATTAAATTGTTACTTTCACTAAAAAAAAACAATCTAGGGAATACTTACAACATGCAGTACAGATTGTTTGGATCACTGAGCCCCTTATTTTTTTCTACCTGATATTTCAGTGTTCAGATAAACCTCTTGCATTAAATGTTTTTTTTTTAATTTGGAAAAGATTAATTTCAAAGCAAATACATATTGTAACACTTAGTGACCTTTCAGCGGTCAAGTGGAGTTCCAAGACGTATTTTTTATTTCCATTTCTCTTTAATGTTAGAATTTAAACTGAAAGTAGGCATACATATTTTATAGCTGGAAAAAGGACTGTAAAATAAGAGTGCTAATCATTATTTTTGATGGTAATGGTAAATAGTTGCAAAGTATGGCATTTTAAAAAAAATTACATAGTTCCGTATTGTCTATCATCCACACATACACAGTATAGCAGTCACATATCTGCCGCAGTTTTTTTAACATAAAATATAAAGACAGACACCAGCCATGTCAAAATTACAATACAATCTGTGCAGAATCTGATCAGATTTCTATAGTTCTGAGTTCTGATCAGCTAAGAGATAATTACTATGATGTATTTCATGCCCAATCAGTATGATTTGTCCTGCATTCTCATGATACAGGGAATCGTATACAATATTTAGTGCAAGATCACAGAGATCTTCTTGGCAGATATAAATGAATTTAAGAATACTAATGACAACTACAGCATGTCAAACAGTAAATGTTTTTTAAATGTGATGTTATAAAACTATCAAGCCAAGGCCAACATATATTTAATCCTCACAGGGACAAAGAGAATATATGACTCTGATTCAGTATCCTTCATCATTGGGATCATCACTGCGGGTATCAGATCACAATAACTTAGAGCACAATATAATTTTTCCCTTGAAATCTGAAAATTTTCTTGGAATAAAAATTAATTTGTGTCATTAATTGACATAGTATATCCAAATAAAATCATTAACAGATATCAGTTTGATTCTGTTTACCCATTACATCAAATATGGGCCACCTTGAATGTTAGAAAAGTATCCCTTAAGCATTCAATCTAAAGATTTTCTTGTGGTCTAAAATCTTGAGAGGCACAGGCCTGGAATTATATAATAGACCTTATCAATCCTTTGAAGGAAGTAGTTTGCAACATGTGCATTCTATTCTAAACAAAACAATTTTGTAAATAAGTATGTCATGGTTTCGACAAACAGAGATGAATAAAGCAGAACGCCGAGGTTTGCAAATTCCTCAAATAACATGTTTATTAGGTACAAAGTATTGGCACATCAAAAGTGAAACCAAGTCTAGAGACACACATAACAATCCCCCAATACAAAGTTAAAAAATCCCTCCCATAGAACTATGCAAGTAACTACGTTCCCCAATACATCTTCTTGACGGGCTTTTTATGCAATGCCCAGCTTGCAGTCTTGGGAGCAGCCGATGACCTTGGTTCCCACTGGACAAAAGACTATTTTGACTAACGAAGCACCTGGGCAACCCCCCTCCCTCCATTCTATGTGGCAACCAAAAATGAGTAGGAAAAATGGCTGCAGCCATGCTCATTTGTCGAGTTGACAAAGTAATTGTCAGGGTTAGGGCTAGACACATTGTCTTTCTCAGAAGATTTGAAGCCAAGTAACCAAGTACCAGTATTAATCAAGAAATAACAGATTCAGGCCCTGTAATTCATGAACCTAATGTAAAGAATTCTGGCCTACAACTAAAAACTAGACTTCCTAGCCTTCAACATGACAGGACATAATTTGGAGAAAATGAGGCAAAGGAATCGCTGCTTGCAGAAGGTAACTTGTCTGTAAAGTCTGACCCATTAAAAATATCTTTTAAGTTTTACATAAATCTGAGTAGGAATAAAGAAACTTTGGAGGCTAAAGGCCACCTGAGATCCTCTGATGTAAAATAGCCAGTCTTGAAACCAAGTGTTGTACGTATCTGAACTTCTTAAGTATGGATGGCTTTGTTAACTGCAACTAACTCTCCCTTGGAACTTTTCCTTTGTATTTGTGTTGTGACTCTCAGTCTGTTTTCAGACAGTGATACTTCTTGACCCCTTAACAAACATGAAAGACAATCTCCAAATATTTAAGGTCATAATTTTCTCAATAAAGTTTTCACTAATTTTCATTACTCTGCATTTCTAGATTATCTCTTTGCAAAGATAGTAAGAATAGGAAACAGTGATTCTTTATGATCTCTTAGTCCAACAAAAGAGATGCTGTCCATAATTCTTTGGACAATCATGACTGGTAAAACAGAACAACAGCAACACTAGAGAACAGCTGTGCTCAAGATAGAAACGGGAGAAGTCATACCTAATATAAATGTAGGTATTTTCATACATTGAAATATATTTTGCATAATAACAAAAAAGAAAGAAATACCAGAACTATCTGATTCTGAATTCTAAAAATAAATAATAGGTAAGGTAGATTTTTTTCCCAAATAAAAAGACCTTGACTGACATTGGATAAAAAGAATACCGTAATAAAATAAAGGATTCTTTTGCAAAACAGAAGATATTTTATTAGAGAAGAAAATGCAAATTTTAATTGAGAAAAATATGAGCAAGTAAGCTGAATTCAACAATGAGGGGACTGATTCTGGTGTCAGGATTGTCAACCAAGATTGTATCCAGAGGCCCTCTTCTTTATTAAAATGAGAGTAATACTTTTTCAAACCAGCTACCGTAGTTTGTTAAAGAAATGAAAATTGAGCACCAAAAAGACTTTTTTTCTTCCTGTGACTAATAGCAGCCCTCGAGCAAGTTGGTTACTCCAGTAGAGAGCAGTCACCTCAGAATTAGACCTTTCAGAAGTCTAAGTTTTTCTTTGCTGAATTGTTCAGCAGGTCACAGTGCAAAAGGTGCCCAGACCTCTAATTTAGAGAAAAGGCTTCCTAGCAGTACCTTAATTTAAGTTCCTGAGATTATGTTATCCACCAGACATGTTGTCCATATTGACAAGACTTGTTAACAGATCTTTTTCATTGCATTTCTTTCTGATCTTTATGTCTATCCCAGTAGTAATTATTTAGTACGAAATTCAAAGGTGAATAATGTATATGCAGATCTAGAGAGCACATTTAGGGTTTGGGAGTGCTATTCTCTGCTGATTTTTTTTTTAAAGCCTTCCTCCAAAATTCAGAGCCAACCTTTGAATTTGAAGGCTTGTATGGAGACATAATCTACCCTTTGAATAATGGGATTTCGAAGATGTGAATGGCAGGAGCAAATTCTTTTGGCAAGTGGTTTCTTTCACATTCATCTCCAGTGGAACAATGGAGAATTTTGCCTGCTCAGATTTCATTAAACAAGCCATCTCAGCAGTCTTATGAATCATCTCCAAGGCGCCTGAAGGCAGGACAAGAAGCAATGGATGGAAACTGATCAAGGAGAGAAGCAACCTAGAACTAAGGAGAAACTTCCTGACAGTTAGAACAATTAACCAATGGAACAACTTGCCTCCAGAAGCGATGAATGCTCCAACACTGGAAGTTTTTAAGAAGAGACTGGACAGCCATTTGTCCAAAATGGTATAGGGTTTCCTGCCTGAGCAGGGGGTTGGACTCAATGACCTCCAAGGTCCCTTCCAACTTTATTATTATTATTATTATTATGGATCATCGCACAGTCAGCCAGATGTTCAGACTGGATTTGGCATTTTGTCTACCTATCGAGTCCTTACCCAGGACCTGGGATAGGCAGATGTGGATGTTTGATGGTGTTGCAGATATTGTCGCAGGATGGAAGCAGTTTCTAATAAGGCTGCCTTTTGCAATTGACTAATAGCGAATTTGTCAATGCCAATGGTGTTCAACTGGTGCTCCAGTTGTTTTGGGATTGCACCTAAGGAGCCTATGACTATTGGTACTACCCTTGCTTGCTTTTGCCACAGTCTTTCTATTTCTATTTGTAGGTCTTTGTATTTTGTTATCTTCTCCAGTTCTTTCTCTTCTATTCTGCTGTCTCCAGGCACTGCCACGTCCACTATTATTATTATTATTATTATTATTATTATTATTATTATTATTATTATTATTATTATCTGGAGAGCTATAGTGCAGTTCCATGCCTCTGTATGAGTCGGGAGCAGCCAGTCATGCTTTTTTCATCCAGTGTTTCCTACCCAGCAAGATTGTTATGTTCATGTGTATTCATGAAGTTACTTTAATTATTTTTAATTTTTATTGTCTTGTTCAGAGTGGTTTTATTGTTTTATTTGATTGATTGATTGATTGATTTCTCCACTTTGAGAAAATCACCATCACACCCAAAAGCAATAGCAGCAGTATTATAAGCCACTTAAGATCATATCCTGGGAAAAGAGATACAGTTGCAGTGAATAAAGTGAATTTACTCTTGTAATAAAGCTGTACTAATATTATCCTTCTCATCTTTCCTATTATTTGATGGATATCTTATTATGTATCATTTTGTTGTTTGTATCTTATGATGCAAAGACTGAGAACTTATGCACCAGAGACAAACACCTTGTGTATCCAATCACACTTGCCCAATAAAGAATGTTCTATTCTGGACTTCCGGTTCCGGTTTGCGGCATCACTAGTCGCACAGGGAGACGTCTCTCCTCGTCAGCTAGGTTTCCCTCTGTCGGTGGACCCTTATACAGATCCAAAGTCACCCTGGAGGATGTGACTTCCATCAAGGAGGCTGCTGTCTGGCTGCAGAGGAGCGGCGGCTCCTCCAGCTGTCCAGACGAATCTCCAAGGGCCGACAGAGAAGAAGATTCGCCAGTAAAATGGCCAATCGCCCTGCCACTTCAGACCGTAAGTCAGACAACATCTAAGCTAAGAAGTGCCCCTGTAGTGAATCCGGGTGAGAATTTTTTCTTGTTTTTTCTCTCTTTTCTGATTTTTTTGTTTGTGTACCTGTAAGAGCCTCTGGAATTATTTCCCTGGCTTGGAAAGATGGCTTCTGCTTTTTGGGGGGGAAGAAAGGCATTTTACAAACACTGAAAGACTATTTACTTCTATTTGGATATTAAAAAGGAAAAAAAGATGGAAAAGGTTTTCTCTCTCCTCTCTTTTTAAGAACTGTACTGTGTGTGTGTGTGTGTGTGTGTGTGTGTGTGTGTGTGTGTGTGTGTGTTTTCTGCGGTTTTCACGGGTGTTTGTAGGTCTTTGGTTATTTGGGTTTTCTACTGCATAAAATTGGAAGTGTCTTGGCGACATTTCGACGAAGTCCCATTCGTCATCTTCAGGCTGGTGTTTTCAGCTTTGTGCTTTGAGCAGCAATGTGTGGTCTTAGCTGTTTCTTCCTTTTAACTGCCAGTGGGGGTATGAACTGATTGGGTGGGAGCTTGGCTGTGTTCTGATTGGATGGAGGTGTGTTCTGATTGGTTAGGGGCTTGCTGTGCTCTGATTGGCTGGGGGGGGTTGGCTGTGCTCTGATTGGCTGGGGGAGTGTTCTGTTTGGGTGGGGGCTTTGTTGTGCTCAGGTTAGTCTGAGTTGCAGGGGGTTTAAGATGGTGGGCTGCCTTGCTATTTTTTGGCTTTGCGTTCGTGGTCGTGCCTCATCTTCATGGAGGGTGTCAGTTTGCTTCATGTATGGATTGGAGGGGTTTAAAGTCGCTAATGATGCAGCTGTGGTCTGTCTTCTGGTTTGTGGTCGTGCCTCATCATCGGTGTGGCTTTGGGTTTGCTTTTTGCGTGGATGTGTGGTGGTGACATCTTGTGTGGTTTTTGTGAGTGTGGGTCTGGTGTCCTTTTTTGTGTTAGGGAGTCGTTTGTCAATATGGGCGGGTTTCCAAATGGCTGGTAGGCGGGAGGTATCTCTTGTTTGTTCATGCTGTGTGGGCGTTTTTCTATCTCAATGGCTTCTCTGATTATTCTGTTATTAAAATGTTCAGTTTTGGCGATAGTCCTGGTATTTTTAAAGTCCTGTGGCTTTAAGGTGTTGGATCAGGGAAGAAGTTGGTTCCTCTTTTTTGACTGAGTTCTTATGTTCTTCAATGCGTGCACTTATTCTTCTGTTGGTTTGTCCAATGTATGTGTTGGGACAAGCAGTGCATGGGATTTCATATACTCCTTGATTTTCTAAATCAATTTTATCTTTGGGGTTTCTTAGGATGGTGGATATTTTTCTGTTTGTGCAGAATGCTGTTTTGATGTTGTGTTTATGGAGGATAAACACCACAGACAGAATCAGTAAGATCCTCCACACATTGCTCCTCGAAGCACGAAGCTGAAAACATCAGCCTGAAGATGACGAATGGGACTTTGTTGAAACAACACCAAGACACTTCCAATTTTACGTGGGAGAAAACCCAAATAACGTATGTATGTATGTATGTGTGTATACATACATACATATGTACATACATACATACATACATACACATACACACATATATATATATTATACTTCAAAAAACAGAAAAAAGGAATTGATTTTTGGAAAAGACTTTCTTAACTCACTGAGGGCATCTAGTGGCTAAAGTTCAATACTGCCACTTTGCTTATTTTTCTATTGAATTTCAAAATACTAAAGATAAGCTGTGCACCTGTGAAGCTGTGGGGGTGGATGTTTTTTGTATTAAATATAGCCTTCACAAAAAAGAAAAAGAGATCTTCTTTTAAGCATTAGTATTAAAATGGAGAAACTTCAGTTACAACTGAACTGTGCACTTATATTGGAAAAGATTTATGAGGCCACTGCAGAAATATGTGCTACAATTAAAAACTCTAACTTAGAATTAAGATTCAGAGACTCTACTACATTTGCTCAAACTGATGTTCTGGTTACAACTGTCTATGGCATAAATCAAAATGTACCAGAAGAGGATTCTATAGAGATAGAAGAGGAATTTACTTCATCTGACAACCCTTTCTTCATCAACTTAGAGAACCAGAAGAAGCAGAGACCAAGATTTCTAACTACAAAGCAGCTACGTTCCAAGGAGAATAGGAAAAGATGTTTACTGCAGAGGAAGGGATTTATATTTCCTCAAAGATCACCACAAGCAACAAGAATGGATTTATTGGTTGAAAGGGAAAAAAGACGTTTACTTCAGAGGAAGGGACTTATATTCCTTCAAAGATTACTGCAAGCAACAAGAATGGATTTATTGGTTGAAAGGGAAGCACTTTTATGGAAGCCTGTGTGGCATAGAAAGAAACCCAGAATTAGACTTAAAAAGAAATTCAAAAATTTTTAATGGAGTAAAAGGCAATGCTGATTTTATGGATTGTTTTAAGAATAATGATTTAAAGTTAGAAGTAAGAAAAATGCAATTATATACATGTGTGCTTAAATTAGATGATTTTTTTTGAAAGTCTATTAAAGATAGAAAATATATAATCATATACATACAGATATATATGTTCTGGAATTGAAAAAATGTTCAGTTATGGAAATGCAATTTTGAAATGCTTAAACTGTTTAGGTGATTTTTGATAATAATATGATCTGATAAAGCAGTGGTTCTCAACCTTTTTAATGCTGCGAACCCCCAACCGGTCTTAAGTTGAGGATTACCCAACTGGTCGTAAGTCGAGGACTTTCCTTGCCCGGGAGCGCCATGCATGTGTGGTGCTGCCCCCTGAACCGGCCGAGGCATAGCTGGCAAGTGGCAGAGACGGAGCAGGCCAACCACCGGCTGGGCCACCAGGTGGCCCAGCCCATGGGAGGTAAGACACCTGCCGGAAAAGGGGGAAAAAATGGCAGACAGCCTTTCTTGGCGACCCCTGTGAAATGGTCGATCGACCCCAAATGGGGTCACGACCCACAGGTTGAGAACCGCTGTGATAAAGTATGATAATTAATTGGATGGAATTTGAAGTTTGTGTAATGAATTGAAAGGAATTTTCTTTTTTTTCCTCTTTCTTAATTAAGTTAGTTACAATTATATACATATGTGTGTTTTTTTGTTGTATAGAATTTGTTTGGAAAAAAGAACCTTGGCTTTATGGTTGATAAGGTATGATAATTAATTGAATGGAATTTGAAATTTGTGTAATGAATTGAAAGGAATTAAGGTTTAACATTGTTTTTTTTTTAAATTAAGTTAGTTATCATTGGAAGAAGAAATGAATGCGATTGATGATAAAAAGAGGGCTGAGAGAGATTAAGAATTTTAATATACTTGGTAGAGATATTTGAAGTGATAATTTGTTGATGTAAAACAATATTTGATTATGGTAATTCTAAATTGATAATGCTTTAAAACAGGTTGAGTAGTAATAGAAACTTAAGCTAGAAACATATATTATGTTATCTGTGAGAAATAGAGAGATGATAGTGAATGTATTAAGTTGAGCTGTTTTTGTATGTTTTTTTTCCCTTGGAATGTTTGTTTACCCAAACACCAAGGTGTGTCTAAAATACTTTTTGTATTTGTATTTTGTATTTGTATTTTGAATTAAAAAACCAATAAAATATATTCAAAAAAAAGAATATTCTATTCTATTCTATTCTATTCTATTCTATTCTATTCTATTCTATTCTATTCTATTGACAAGTAAGTCCTTCTTAAGGAGGCCCTTCCTAAAGAAGGCCTTCACAGGGTAACAGTTAAAATAATAATTATCATTTCTTCCCTGTCCCATCCCAAAAAAAATCATTAAGGAGTCATGTTACTTTTTAAAATGTAAGTATTTATCTTTAAAAAGTTGTTAAAATCACATGCAGCTGTTCTGGCAGATGCATCTTATTGATGGATGTTGTTATTCTAAGCATTTAGTCTAAATTTGACTTGTCATGATTCTCTCCACATTTTGGAAATACAATATAGTATGATATAGGTATCATATCCAAGTTAAAAAGAAGAGTTAGTTAAGGTGGCTAAAGGCAATTCAAAATGACAGCCGAGCTCAATGTGATTGAACAGAGTAAAAAAAGACAAGCTGTCTCTTCACCTGCAGCATCATTTCTGTTGAAATTTGGCTATTAGTAAGCTAGTGGTAAGATTTTTCTTCAACCCAATCCCTTTTTAGCTCTGCAGTTATCTGTTGAGCCATTTATTTGACAATAGTCTTTAATGAAATCCTGGCATATGAATAATAAGATGAATACTTCCCCTAGGATTTTTTGCTAGTGAACCCTGGAAAATAGCTGCATTTCCAGCTAAAATCACTTGATATACAGCAAAGTAGTGACATGGAAACAGGGAAATTGTGGGATCAGGAAAGAAAATAAAATTTCACAGTGTCCCAACTAAAGAGACTGCTGGAATCTATTTAAAATATTTTTTAAAATATATGCTTTAATATGTGGGGGGGGGAAACTTAATACAGTCTTGATCTCAGCAGTATCTTCCATCTTACAGTGACTATGATGGAGAAGTCTACAGAACCAGCTAGTTTGCTGCAAAATATAGAACAATATTTCCCCTGTGGTTTTGTTTTTGTTTTGTGTTGTTTCATTCTGTTTAGAAGAATATTTGCCATAAAAATAGAAGGGCAGAGATCAAATGTTCCCTAGATTTTTGGTTTATTTTTACTGCTGAAACAATGTGACATGTAAATGTTCTAAGAGTAGTAGAGCTATAGTTTTTAGAATATGTTTTCTAACCATAATATTACAATTCAGTGGAAAATACCACTATTAACGGAATCACAGTAGATACACTTCTGACATTTGAACACAAACTAAGTAAACTATTTACATTATTAGAGTTTTACAGGTCATATATTTTCTCTTTATTTAAACTATAGCTTAAGAATGCTGAACCTCATGAGATATTCACACTGAATGAAGTTAGAAGATTTTAAACTTTCAGATGCCATTTTATTGATTTTGACTTGCTATAACTCTTGCACTCAAATTAAGTGGGAAAGAAATATCTGATAGAGAAAAATGTAATTCTTTAGAGCTTAAAGTCCAGTGAACTACTTTTCAGGGGCAGTAGAAATCTAGGTTTATTGCTTTCCAAAGCTACCTTTGGAAAAAGTGATAGAGGAAAAAGAGAACTGATCAAAAGAGCAGGAAGAAATAGAAGACACCCATGAATTTAAAGACATGGTCTAGACTGTCAGATGTCTTGAATCAATACATAGAGGTCACCGCATGGCAAGCATGAACAGTTTACATAGCAGGAAGTTGATAACTACTGTTCATCTCAGTGATTTGTAACATGAAGAGAAAAAGAGATCCTTGAAATTGAAAGAAACAGGAGGAAGTCAGGAGCAAAAGCTGACTCATGATTTAATTGTAGTGTCTTCTTCAAGTAGTTTTTTGCCATTGAGCATAAAAAAATGAAATACAAATATATCTTGAAAGATTGATTTCTGGAAGATATTAGGTTTAGTGTTTTCAGTAAGGAGCACAAAGCTGTTTGGAACTGGGCAGCATCCAAAATGAATAAAATCAAATTAAATAACTATCAGTGCTACTGGAAAATAAAAGTTTTTCCTTTTTTATAACTTGTTCATTTTGCCATTTTATCCAGCTACAAATAGAAGTACAACAATCTATATTACACTAGGCATACCTAAAATCAAAAGGCGAATTGACTTTAAAAAGACCAGAACTATCGCCAAAACTGAACATTTTAATAACAGAATAATCAGAGAAGCCATCGAGATAGAAAAACGCCCACACAGCATGAACAAATGAGATGATACCTCCCGCCTACCAGCCATTTGGAAACCCGCCCTTATTGACAAACGACTCCCTAACACAAAAAATGACCCACACTCACAAAAACCACACAGGATGTCACCACCACACATCCACGCAAAAAGCAAACCCAAAGCCACAGCATAACATCTCAGATAGGATCCTCACCAAAGCCGAAACCAATGTCCTTTCCAAAGGATTCAACTTTGCAGTCGCTCCCAAACACATCCCCACTGAAACCATTATATGTGGAGTTGAAACCAGCCTGACCAAAATCAACCCCGACGACGCCAACAGAATCAGACTCGAAATCACCAACATCCTCTGCACCAGCAAGCCACCCAAAAGCAACTTACCCAAAGAGGAACAGACAGCACTACGTAACCTGAAAGAAGACACCAGCATAATAATCCTACCAGCAGACAAGGGCAACGCCACGGTGGTTATGAACACATCTGACTACCAAACCAAATTAACCAACCTACTCCAAGACTCCACATACAAACCCCTAAATACAGATCCCACCACCTACCTGGAAAAAACCACCAGATCCAAAATAAAAGCCTCCCCCATTAGCGAAGAGATCCAGCAAAGAATCATTCCCAGAGAGAAATCATCCAGATGCCCCAAACTCTATGGTCTCCCCAAGATACACAAAGAAGGAACCCCACTCAGACCTATAGTCAGCTCCATAGGCTCACCTCTACAAAACCTAGCCAAATTTCTCGCCAAACAACTACAGCCCTATGCAGAATCCATCACCTCACACGTAAAAAACTCATTCCAGTTTATAGAGATCATAAAGAAACAAAACTTACAGCCCAGCGACCTACTAGTGAGCTTCGATGTCATATCCCTCTTCACCCAAGTGCCTATCAAAGAAGCCTTGACAGCTATTCAAAACAAATATAACCCCCCCAAACACATCTTAGATCTGACCAACCACTGCCTATCCAACACATACTTCATCTATAATGGACAAAAATACAAACAAACAGAAGGAGCACCCATGGGATCACCCCTCTCACCTGTCATTGCCAACCTCTACATGGAACACTTTGAAACCCAAGCTCTAGAAAAATCGGATCACAAACCCAAACTCTGGCTCAGATACGTAGACGACACCTTCATAATCTGGCCACATGGGAAAGAAAAACTGGACAACTTCCTCACACACCTCAACAGCCTACACCCCAAAATACAGTTCACCATGGAAACAGAAGCTAACAACCAACTTCCCTTCCTGGATGTCTTAGTCTACAAGAAATCCAATGGCTCCCTAGGACACACCATCTACCAGAAGAAAACACACACAAACCGCTATCTGCACGCTCTCTCACACCACCACCCAGCACAGATCAACTCTGTAGCCAAGACACTCATCTCCAGAACAAAACGCTTAGCTGACGAACAACACCTAAAACCCGAACTACACACTCTCACCAATGTACTAACATCCAATGGATTCCATAGAAATAAGATTACAAACCTAATCCAAAAAGAAACCCCCACTAAAATCCAAGACAAAGAACAAGAAAACGGCAAAGCCCTCCTCCCATACATAAAAGGCACCACAGACAGAATCAGTAAGATCCTCCATAAACACAACATCA